TAATGTTACCTCAAGTCCTGCTACATCTTCGCAGCACCCGGATATATGGAGTATCGCGAACTGTGAGCCTCCTGGAGAATCAATTCACGAAAACCATCTACATTAGACACACATAGCCTGCCCTGCATCCGTAATACACCGTCATCTCCAATTACGACTTCTTTGGCATCACCGTGCTGAATTGTATCCTTAAGGACAAGCAAATGGGGGTCATCATATTGACGCTCCCTGATACGATCATAAAGAGAAGACTGAGAAACCACACAAGTCAAAACTCGACTCGGCTCGGAAACATCCAATCTGACAAACTAGTTAGCCAAGGCCTGAATATCCAAGGCCAAAGGCCTCTCTGCTACCGGTAAATATGCTAAGCTGCCCAAACTCTCCGCCTTACGACTCAAGGCATCGGCCACGATATTGGCCTTCACAGGATGATAGAGAATGGTGACATCATAATCCTTAAGCAACTCCAACCATCTCCGCTGCCGCAAATTAAGATCCTTCTGTTTAAACAGATGTTGTAGACTTCGGTGATCGGTGTAAACCTCACAATGGACACTGTACAAATAATGCCGCCAAATTCTTCAAGGCACGAACAATAGCTGCTAACTCAAGGCCGTGGACCGAAAAAATTTTCTCATGTACCTTTAACTGTCTGGACGCGTTGGCAATCACCCTACCGTCTTACATCAACATCGCGCCGAGACCAATACGCGACGCGTCATAATACACAGTATATGACCTTGAACATGTAAGTAATACCAACACTTGTGTCGGAGTCAAAGTGATCTTGAGCTTCTAAAAGCTCAACTCACACTTGTCTGACCCTGTAAATGGGGCACCCTCTTGGATCAATTTGGTCTTAATAGTTGTTCATAATCAATTACAGAATCTTCATTTAACCTCATGTTAACAAAAATCTCGTTTGCGCCTTCACAATACTGATAACTAGATGCGAGGCATGAAGACCTCATAATTATTTACCCGAATTAACGAGTCATATTTAATGCCACCTAGGCGGGCACCTACCTCGTAGGTTAAAAATTAATAATTACAACATGAATTTGACACCTATGCACGGAGAATTTCATATAAGAATTTTTAAATAAGCCTAACAGGCATGACTCCCCATTAGTACTAAAGTACAAATTTAATTTCACAAGGGAGAACTTAAACACAAGAATTTTCCTCACAAAGATCTCGTCCTTATATAACTTCCACCGCAGCTCGCAGCCCGGTTTAAACATATCAATTTATATAAAAATATGAGGATCTCGTCCTCAGTTCTGAATCACAAGTAATATGCACATCGTGCCAATTGAAAATTTCTATTTTCTCCTTTTAAATAATTTCGGTTACACCAAATCACAACACATAATGAACCCCACACCGGTAGGGCATATAATTCACAATTTGCAATTAATTATTCGGAATTTACATCAAAATTTACCGAAATGAGTAACAGAAAGCCACATTTAGCCTCGCACCTCTTATTAGTGACCAACACAAAATGATAGGCGTAGTTATCTCCATAAAAATCTCCCAACAGGGGTAAACACATAAGTAGATTATAGAATTATGAAGCTTACTCATAAGAGGAGTACAATAGGAGGACTCGTTTCGATACTGAGAACCGAATCAAGTTAAGGAAATTATTACTTTATATTAAATCGATGTCGTACCTGTAATGACACCATCTGATGTAGCGACCTCCGCCATACCGTAAAACAAATATATCAACGGCTGGGTCTTCACCTCTAGGACGCCTTCTACTCGTCTGTCCTCCACCCCTAACTGGTCGTGTGGGTGGTGTAGTAACTGCAATGGGGCACGTAGCCTGAGTGCTTTGATGAAATAAGTCTCTCCCAAGTTTGGGATAATTTTCTCATGATGTGCCTAGTATCACCGTATCCATAACAACCCCTTTGCGGGTTAGGCTGCTCATATTGAGTCTGTACCAGATAACTGGAATAAACATTATAGGAACTTATATCGGTGGTGCATTAAAAGAACTTACTAGAGTACCCCGAATAATCCGATGTGCGGACTGAGTTGGCCGACTGCTCGAGCCCCCTCCGTAATAATTTATACTTGCAGAGTAGAATCCATTGAATCCCCCAGAACCTCGAGATGTCTTGGTCTCCTTAGTTTCCTTTTTTCCTCACCCCGAACACATTCTAATATCTTGGCAATTTGTACAACTAGCAGAAATGAAGTATCAGCTTGTAGCTCCCGAGTCGTACAAAATTTTACGATCATAATTGAGTCCTTTAATGAGTCTGTGGACTCGCCCTCTGGCTGTAGGAAGCAAAGTAGGAGTATGACGGGCTAACTTATTGAACTTGATGGCATATTCTGACACCGTTAATGGTGACCTGACGCAACCGTTCAAACCCTATGCGCCATGCATTATGGAGAGTCCGGGAAACAAACTCTTTCAAAAGCATTTCTGAGAACTGAGCCAAGTGGATAGTGTTGCATTGGCCGGTCTGCCCTCTTCATAGGCTTGACACGAACACCGGTGGAGAAATATCTCTCCCAAGGCAAATTTCTTCTTTTGTTATACTGACTCAACACTGTTGAGCTGACCCATTTTTTAACATACTCTTCGATTCTTCCTTGGGGTAACCCCTACCCCTATTTATACACAACGATCACAAAAGTAGAGCTCCATACAGACAAATCTTGGCACGAACCACATAGTCCATAATCTCGTCAACAACTGTACTTCCTCCAAAGCACCCCAAAATCCGCAACCGTGACGTCCATGCTGAGTAGACCTTCTATAAATTTAGAGTTGTTTCTGTAACTCCTTTGGTACTGAAGTATATGATTATTAAGGAGGTGGACATACCGCAAGTCCCAACCTTATCCTCTACAAAATCTCAAGTCTTAAACATGTGTAAATTTTAGGGAACCTTTCAGTACCACATATATACATTTCAGGTCAAAACTGATATAACACATGACCCCGCAATCCACCCATTGATAATGGACTCCCCCCATTCGGCGCGAAGTCATAGGTCATAACGTCCGATGATCCACAATAATAACCTTCACAACTTGTATAAATCAACCAGACTCCAATGTCCATTGCACCCCCGCATAATTTACTAGGTGATCTCTCAATACGCTCGCATCTTCAGTCGGAACCACACATTGAGGCAATGTTTGAGCATCTCTGGCTCCCTCATAGTCCATCTACGGCATCACGAGTCATCGACGCACAACTGATACCGAGTGCGCAATGTCATACACGAGTAGATACAGAGGAATATAAGATATATATTTCAAGCTAAATCAATGTCGCACGATAAGGAGTCAAAGAAGTGAATATTTCCTAACAATTCCATAGCCTCTCGAATATAAGTACAGACGTCTCCGTACCGATCCGCAAGACTCTACTAAACATGCTTGTGACTCATGACACTTATGAACCTAGAGCTCTGATACCAACTTGTCACGACCCCAAATTCCCTCCGTAGGATGTCGTGATGGCACCTAGTCTCTAAGACTAGGTAAGCCTAACAATGTGGAATAATAATAAATATCTGAAATAATTAAACTACAATTCAAACAATTTCAACTCCTAAAACCCGGTAGAAATAAGTCACAAGCTTCTAAGAATTTATCCTCGATGTTTCTATATAACAGAGTCTAAAGAAAATAAGGAAGCAACATCACAAGAATAGAAGGGGACTCCGGAGTCTGCGGGCGTTGGCAGATATACCTCGAAATCTTCTCGTACAGCTAGTTTACTGATGCGTGGTCTGATAAGATGTACCTGGATCTGCACAAAAAGATGTGCAGAAGCGTAGTATGAGTACACCACAGCGGTACCCAGTAAGTGCCAAGCCTAACCTCGGTAGAGTAGTGACGAGGTCAGGTCAGGCCCTACTGGAGAATAAATAATGGCATGGTAAAATGTTTAAACAATATTATAAGATAAAATGACAATGGAAATGAATCAAGTAGTATGTCACATTTAATTACATCAAATAATGGCAAATAAATACCTCGTGGAAATAAAACAGAATTCTTTTCAACTTTAAGAAAATCACACAATAATCAAGGCAACTGCGGCCATAAATTAATATCAACAAAGACACTTTCGAGGTACCGCCTCGTAGTCCCAAATCATAAACAAATTTACAATATCTCATTTTTCACCTGAAAACTTTCCGAAAAATTTTACGGACTGCGCACGCAAGTCGAGAAATGATAAATAGTGATTTTCGAGGTCTTAGAATACAAAATTAATTATTAAATTTAAAGATGACATTTTGGGTGATCACATTTTTTAACAAATATAATGAGTCGTTTGGATGATCTTGTATGTTAAGCGCTACAACCGCCTCTGGCCGCTAAGGATGACTTAAAATTGCAACAACAACAACATATTATCGTACACCGTAGGGTCTGAGGAGGGTAGTGTGTGCGCAGACCTTACCCCTACCTTGTGAGGAGAGAGAGGTTGTTTCCAATAGACCATCGGTCAGAAAAACATAAGCACCACATTAATGAAAATATAGACAAGAAGGGACAGTACCAAAAAGTCATATAAAAGCAGAATAAAAATAACAAGATAGTAAGGTGATTAACAATGAAAGAAAACAACGGTTAGTCATAAAAACCTACTACCAACAGAAAGCGAGACTATGTGCCAATCCTACTGTTATGAACACTCTAGACTACCTACTCTACTACCCTAATCCTCGACCTCCATAACTTCCTATCAAGGGTCATGTCCTCGATCAGCTAAAGTTGCGCCATGTCTTGCCTAATAACCTCTCCCCACCTCTTCTTTGGCCTACCTCTGCGTCTTCGTAGTCCTAAGGATGACTTAAAATTCTCGGGAATAATAGACTAGGCAATGACAAGGTACATTAACTGGTTTATTACATGGAAAATAGTATTCATGTTTCGGATTACTCATTCATGGGGATATATAGACAAACAGAACACATAACGTAATGTTACTTGCAAAAAACACTTGTACATGTCTTAATAGGTTGTTTCTACTTTATTGTTTGATGTTCAGTTAGGCATATTCAGATCATTCACTAATGTGCTGCTCTTTCCGATACATTCATACACAAAAGAGGTTAACCACAATCAACGGCTAAAAGCTGGGAACTACTTTCGATTGAGGTCACTATACAGGGTTTTCTGGACAACACCTAATATCCGTCATATATACAAGAGAGGCATTTTCACATTTGTAAGACACTACTGTATGATGCCTAAAATAACTACTTTATGATCCCGGCTGCTTCTCCCGACACAACTTCAAGGTGCTAGGCTTCGACTCCAGGTCAGCTGTTGCCCCATTTCACTAAGGCATCTATTGAACTGCATTCTCCGTTTCGATGGATGCCATCAGAGTTGCAAGCTGCAACTCAAACATAATAGCAATCAGATTTACTCCTAGATAACAACTAAAAATATGCTAGTCCAGTTGTTAGGTCAAGTTTACCTGTTCCTCCAATTCGTGTATCTTCTCATCCTTCATTTTCAACTTCCTCTTCTCCCTAAAAATTAGATGTTAAAAGACACAATAGGATACTACATGAGAGCGGTAGCATGATATATTTTGACAAGATTAGGAAGTAATTTAGCAATCCTGGAATAATATGAAGGCCGATATGTATGTCAAGTTGGTCTAAGAAAGAGATCATCCATTACATGAACAACACTAACTCTACAAGACAAAAAACCTCTGCCAACAGCTGAGTGAAGCTTTTCCTCATTAAAAGACCACAATGCATAGAGTACATCAACTTTGCAAGTAAACCGTCGTCAATGTTGCAATTTTACACTAGGGGCAGATTTTCCTTCAACCAGATCATTGAGAAGCAGTTAACACAGCAACAAAAACAAGTTTATCAAAGCCAATACTTATCTGAAAGAAGCAATTCTTGTAACAATTATTAAAGCCACTTGTCAAATGGCAAGAGGTAAAAATTTTGAGTGAATGACAATACATGCTTCTGCAGGATTTGGAACATTGAGAGAATATGGTTATTGGATAAGAAAGAAACTACCAAAGCTTCATGGAGTTTATTACTTATTATTATTATTATTATATTAGACGATCATGATGAAGTAACATGCAAAATGAGGTTGATGGTCAATTGGCACAAAATTGCAGTTCTTGTGATCTACCTGTGCTCAAAGTTTGAAATAATAGCACTTTTGTGGAAAATAAAATAGCAAACATTTAAAGGAAAGCAGGTTGGTCGGATGGAAGAGTTCTGAGAAAATAATTGCCTACCATTGCCTCAGAGTGATGACACACAACAACCAAGGAAAAGAATGATACCTTTCTTCAATCTCCGATATCTTGGCTTCCCATATATCCTTGTTTCTGGTAAGATTGTCATTGATCTAGAGGGTTCAACACCAAACAATTCAAGTTCAGAATCAGGAGAAATCAAATGACTTTAAAAGGGAATACAGAGCTAAATAATGATAAACTGGTAACAGCTCAGAGATCAATAATGGTTAATAGACTTCAATAGAACTCACATCATCAAGAAATTTCTTCTCTTCAATGCATTTGTCCAAACGCACTTTTAACTTCATCAACCTTGGATTCTGACAAAGTGATTTCTCAACAGCTTCCTTAATTTCCCTATCAGTTTCTTCTTCAACCTCTTGCAGTAAGGACTCGAAGTACTATTATCAAAGCAGAAGCTGTTAATACGGTAAATAGAATGTCATGGTCCTAAATTGTTAATCAATATCTCTGCATTCAAATGAATAACCAGACTTGAAAGAACTGAAGAAATTCAGATTAACAATCTTATTATCTAGTCTAGCTAAAAAGTAAGAAGCTTAACCATTTTTTGGTTCTCCAGTTGCAAAGTCAGGAGCTCATTGTACTCGTTCACAATCTGCAGTTAAAATTTTTGAAGATTACCAAGTATTCCCAGATCAAGTAGCAGAAGGACCAAAGCCATGCAAAGATTAAGCTTTTGACTAGATGAATAAGAGTAAAAAAGCAAAAGCAAAATAAAAACAATTTGTAAATGAAGAGAGAGACGTACAGCTTCAACTTTGCTGTTTGCAAGAGTCTCACTAAATCCAGGATCTGTAGCACATTCGCAGCTGCAGCAGCCATCAATATCATGATGACAATGGTGGTTGAGCTCAACCAACTTGCCATCAGTTTTAGACTGAATCAAACGGTGAACATAGTTGTCCCCTGCGTAGTCCCAGACACGACGCGTTTCCAGTTCAAGTGCATAGCAATGTTGTGTCTCTTTCCAGTGCCTTATAGCATGAGCTTCTTTGTATCTATAGCAAAATCAACATGTTGAACATCAATTACTAAAACCTATACTTACCCAGCAGTCAAAAAGATCATTCATCTTTTAGTTCTTAAAAATTGTTTTGGGATAAAATTAGTCTTCAAGTCGATTTAGTTATACCAAGAGAGATAGTATTAACACCTTCCACAGCCAACAAAACCACAAATAACACACATCCATAGATTTTCTGGTGATTGACAGATAGAACACGTTGAGTTTCCAGGCTGCTGCTGGCAGTATCGACATACCTGAGAGAACATGTTTAAGTTGAGTCAGCTAATTTCTATTAGTACTTCACTTGAAAAACATATTTTCGAACTAACACTGGTATATGATGTCTAAAAATCAGCCTAACTCTCAGTACACTAAATAAGGAAAAGAATTCTTCCTTCACTGTTAATCAGCTGATAAGACCCTACTTATACTGTTTTCAGCTATTAGATATATACATTTTTTTCAAGTCCATGAGATTTTTCTTCACTAAGCATCAGGGGTATATAATTTCATCAAACGGTCTAACTTAATCTGATCATGATAATTTACCAAATAACTTCTTGAATATAAGAAAGTCATTGTAACTTGTATTTTCACTTCTTTTAAGCCGAGGGTCTTTCGGAAACAGCCTCTCTACCTTCATTAGGTAGGGGTAAGATTTGCGTACACTTCACCCTCCCCAGACCCCACTTTCACTGGGCTTGTTGTTGTTGTTGTTGTTGTTATTGTAACTTGTAAAAGAACCAAAACACTTGCAACTTCGAAAAACTTACTGTAGTGCCAATTTAATTAAAGGCGGAATACATATACGGCTCCTTAAACTTGCCCAATATTTTAACCTAGCTACTTCACTTAAGCCTTGTACCTATTAGATACTTCAACCTCATTCAATGTGTATCTATTAAACACAATAAGCTGACATGGCAAAAAAAATATTTCTCACACCCCCTTAGGCGGGTGGGTATGTCCAAAATCTTACTTTTTTTTTATTTTTTATTTCTAAGAAAATCACATTTTTCCATTTGTAGGTCTCCCCCTTCTCCTAATGGTTATAATAAGAAGAAAACAACTTCTCGCTACCACCATCGTCGGCCGACCACCATTAGCGGAGAACTACCATAACCACCCTCTCACTAACTTTTTTTGCTCATTCTTTGATTGTGAAGAGAAGGAAAAGAAGTTAACTGGACAATAGCTTTCCGGCGAAGGCTTTAACAAGGAACTCTGCCTTTGGACATTTGTTAGATTCCATATACATTGTTAAGTTAGTTCCAGTGATTCAACCTTGTGAATATTTTACTTTGACAAAGAAATTGGTTTCCATTGAACGTTGTTTCCAAGAAGGCAAGATCCGACTTCGTCCGCGGCAGAATTTCTCCGGCGACGTCGACCTCTCTCTTCAATGACCAAAAACAAAAGCAGTGAATGCCATGACACTCCAGCATACAAATTGTTCAAAGTCCTTCAAACAAGTCTAGCTAAGTTTTACCATTATAAACATTTCTTGAGAAAAAATTTTAAATAGAAAAGTACTTGTTCGAAGATGGCCGGAAAAAAATGGGTTTGAATCAATGGCTAAAATAATGGCTGAGAATGGATAAAAATGACAAAACCCGTTTCGTTGATTAGCAACCTTTAATTTGTCTGGTAGAGTTGTTATGGAGAAATGGGTGATGTTGATTTTGGTTGAAAATGGAGATGGAAAGTGGGCTTAGTGTGGTTGAGGAAGATGACGGGAAGAAGTGGTTGGAGGAGAAAGAATTTCTTTTTTTTTTTTGTGGAAAAGATTTTTTTAAAGTTAATTTTCCATGTGTCACGTTCTAATTTGTCATTTTTGCCAAGTCATTGAGTTTGAAATTCACGCCCCTTCTATCTATGAGAGATTGTCAGCTATGTATTTAATAGATACACATTGACTGAGGTTGAAGTATCTAATCGGTACAAGACTTAATTAAAGTAACTAGGTTAAAATATCGGGCAAGTTTAAGGAGCCGTATATGTATTCCGCCTTAATTAAAATTCAACCCTATATTAGCCACACTTGCTTCAGAGTTCATTGCTAAGTTGAAGAGGAAGAAACAACTCATGTTAAGAATAGGCACCAATCCAGGCAATTGATAGCAGATATAAGTGGGAAAAATGTTGAAAACCATTTCTCTTAGCCAAAGTTTTACGAAGAAGCACCCAAGGATGTGGCCTAGCAGTCAAATCCAAGCAGAGAGATAAAAAGCTAGGTGATCTCTTCCATCTGCCTACGCCTTGGAGGGCAAAGTTACCCGATTGCTGGTGAAAGGTAGCAGTAAATGGTGGAATAGTCCAAATACGCACAAGCTGGCCTAAGTGCAAACACGGAAATTTTGGGGCTTCTTTTAACTTGTGTTTAGATAATTAACAATAACGATAAATGTGTTCCTCCTACCTAAAAATTAAAACTTGTGACTCTTTTCTTCTATTTTAAGACTCAAAGGTACTTAATTTAAATTCCCAAAAAAATTACGTCCAATACAAAACTAAAACTGCACATGCACACACAAAGCAAATTGTGAAGTGGACCTAATATCATCTTGAAAATGTTGCAGAAGGCCATATTTTTAAAAACATTAAGACAGAAAACTCAAGCAAACAAGTGAGGTAACTAAAGACATAAAATGCCGATAAGGCACTACCTCAAGCTAAGCAATTATTCAACAAGAACAATGGATGTTAGAAGCAAACATTATTGAAGACATGGCAATGTGACAATAGGGTAATGCAAATATTAGTAAGAAACATAGTAAACAATATCAATAACAACATGTTACTTACTTACAGGTTGGATTAAATCTAAAAGCCTGACACAAACAACTGTATAAGTTATGGTCCATGACATTTACATGAATATGAATACTAGAGCATCAAGACCAATTCAGTTTTCCAGACCATGTCTAAGTTGACGCTCAAGCGTATGGTTGAAAGATAGAAAGTATTACTTACAGGGCACGAAGAATCTGTCCATTTAGAAATACATGAACAATGAAAGGAGTGATTACAAATGGTTGTGAGAATTCCACTTGTATCCTGGTCCAGTCTCTCTGCAAATTGCACAGGAATTAAAATACATATGAGAGGAAACTCGCCAATATAATCCAGCTAAACATTGGAAATCTCTGGCTGCACATCCTCATAAAATACCAAACTAATTTATAAGGTTAAACTCAAAGCAATATTAACAAGGACTTCTGCATTATGTTGAATTTGCAGTATGCTAAATGAAGACATACAGATTAATTAGCATTCCATTTATTGAAGTGGTGGCGAGAAACTTCTGTAATAAATTGATTCGATTTTTTTAAATAATAACTGAAATTTTAATATTGCAAATCCAAGAGGCAGCATACAGGTGGAACAAGAGTTATATCCAGATCCACATGGACCATGGACATCAATTTCCTATCAAGTGACTCGAATCACTCGTAAATGCTTTGAGGACGAAAAACTTTTAACTATAAGGGATCATCTAGCTTCATCAGATAATTAGCCAAAACTAATCGATCTGGTAAATGTAGTATATTGTGACAAGTAACTTTCTTTTGTGCAGAGTAGCGGGTGTTTATGTATCACATGAAGCATACAAGATATATAGACACACTAGTACGCACGCACGCGCACACTATAACCTACGACTTCTTCGAGTTCAGCCTCTGTTCAAAGTTATTAAAATATATAACACCACCAGGTCACATGTTTGACACCAACTCATTTTATTTTTATATAATTTAAGTTCAAACACTCATATCGTTTGATACCATTGGCCGACCACTCACTTCAGTTTCCTAAGAGTTAAGCTACCAAGTGGTATCCAGTTTGTTTTCTAAGAGTTAAGTTAGGAATTAGGATTACTTAATTAAATAAGTAAATCTAGTAGAAAAATTTCAGACTTCATTTGTAAGGAATGATGGAGTTACGAAAGGATTGTGACTACACCATCCTACATAATTCAAGTAAGGCCAAACGTTGTTGATGCCCTGACTAGTAAGTTCATGAGCAGTTTGGTCCACCATGATATCATAATGAGACTTTGTGTGCAAGTACGTCTACAGTCTTGAGAACAGAGGATCAGATTTAGTGCCACTGGGACAGAAGCATTATCAGCTGTGTAGGCAAACTGTAACTAATTGAGCATCCCAAGGCATCAGTTTAGGACCCCAAGACTTTGTAAGTTTTTAAATGAAGTCCAAGCTGTAAGAGCATATTCAATCCTAGAAATATGGCATAATGAGATTCGGTGACTGGTTGCGCATACACTAGATGTATGCTTTTGGTAAATGAACACAGCTTGCAGAGGAACACTAGATTTCATTAAAACGCTCGCAAGAGCAATCTGGCATACGTCTACCATATATGAATAAATAGTTACCTTTTTTATCAGTGTATATGAATTTAGTTACTTTAGGACATTTCAGATCGTAAGTGCCATGACTCTGAGTTACAAGGAAACATAACATAAGAAATTTCTTGCAAACGTTAAACTTTTAAATTTGGAGGTTAAAGCGGACGTTACAAACATTTTGGAGGAAAGTGAACGAATGAAGATGAACATCTCTAACATTTTGGAGTGAATCTCACTTTAGATGTGCTTAGGGGTTGAATAAGTAAGCTACAAATTTCCAAAATGTGCCATTTCCAAAATATAATTAAACATTTTGAAACTAGATTAGGAAAAATACCAAGACAAACAGGACAGAATGGTTGCTCTGTAGAGCTTGCAGGTATGGACTGGGTGCGTTCAATTGAACCAGTGTAATGAACATCAGCAGCAAAAAGCACATTGCAGGTCTCGTCCTGCAAGCAAAGAAACAAAAACAAGAATGGAGTATGAAACTGGAATTTGATGTTATGCGATATTTATTATGATGCCAAAGCAGAAGACAAATATTGGAGCAACCATACCTCAAGAGATGAAAATCGTCTACCATTAAAATGCTTGTAAAAAGTATCTGCAGCTTTCTGCTCATCAAACCTGATCAATATACTGTAACAATCTTCCATTCCATCATTCCTAAAGCCTCGCACAAGATCACACAAGACACCAAAGTTCAGAAGGAATCACAGACAACCAGTTAAACAAAAATCTCATAATACTTGGAGAGAATACCTGACAATTCGCATTTCCAACATATGTTGAACAAATGAACCACAAAACTGACAAAAGTCTGCATATGTCATGTGATTTGGAACACTGAGCACGCAGAGGAGAGGCTTTCTTCCCACCTAAAGACAACACAATAGCACTAGATTAGTTGTTAGATTCATGGATGGTGAGGATTCATATAGTCAATTCCAACTAGCTTGGGGTTGAAGCTTTTTGTCGTTAATTACACATTTTGACCTATTATTGTTCTACAGTTTTGAGTAATAGAATAGAATAAGATCAAAAATCTGTATACTAAGGGAAACAAGAAACAAACAATTCAAAGTTCAAAAGCTACTAGATTTGAACATATGATAGTTGCACAAACAGCTTCATGTGTAGCTATCAGATGAATCTACACATTTCTAGTCAAAACGTTATTGAATTCGAACCCTCAAGCAAGAAAAGCAAACTATTACAAGTCAGCCCAAAGCTATATCTCTAGGCAGAGTAAAGTTTATCTGACTCTGTTCTTTTTTCTTATTAACGTGTCCAAGCACACCAATCAAACAAACTCTCCCAAATGCATTTTGGTTTGGAGGTTTAGAATAATCAATAGAACTGTTAATTTCATATGGCCTCTACAACCTTTGACCTTTTCCAGATTATCAGAAACTTCACCACTACATAGTACTTCTTCAAAGCAAAATGTAAGTCACATGTCACATAGAATTCCACGTAATTCTCGCAATAATAAAAGGAAGCATAAGTAGTTTCAATGTAAAAATCCTAGCAAAGAATTCTTTCATACTTCACTCATCGTTCAGCAATTGGATCTCCTTCTATCAGATATTAAGGTTCTTTCATCTTTTCTCTGTAACTAACCGACATTGTCCAGATAATCCACTACAAATCAATCACCCACTATAAATCAATCAGTTCATTACCACCTAAAACTCCAAATGATAACAACACTCTAAGGGGCAGTTTGGTTGGGAAACAGGTTGTCCCATGATAAAAATAACACTACGTCGCGATTTTATCCCAACCAAACGTGGGATAAACTTATCTCAAATTTAATCTCGGGATAAATCATCCCTTATTTCTTGTACCAAACGAGCCCTCGGGCTAAGGGTTCTCTAGGGACGCTATAAATTTTACAAATATCCCTAAAACATCAAGCTAAAATGACTCCCGTCAAAGAGACATCGACCAACCTTAATCCCAACTAATCTTATCGCCTCTACACACACTCTGCTCACAATATTTTCTATCCTTCTTGAATCCACATGGACTTCAAAAATTTGTGCGTGTCATGAGATAAACTTCCCTCTAGATGACACCTAAAGCTCCAATAACAACAACATACCCAGTATAGTCCCACAAGTAGGGTATGGGGAGGATAGAGTGTACGCAGACCTAACCCCTACCTTTAAAAAGGTAGAGAGGTTGTTTCCGAAAGATCTTTGGCTCGGGAAGGGGAGAGGGGAGGGGCAATAACAAGCAAACCGATCTGACAACCAAAGCAAAATACAAAACTAGCAAAAGGTAATGCAATCAGAAAACCGAAACACAAGACAACAACAAGTAGTAACAGAAGACTAGGGGTACGGAAAAAAAAAAAAAAAAAAGACACCAAGTGGTGTGTCAAAGCTACTGCTACAAACAAGGACAACACTCGACCACCTAACACACCTTCCTATCCATGGTCATGTCCTACGTGAGCTGGAGCATCGCCATATCTTGCCTAATCACTTCTCCCAAATACTTCTTCGGCATGCCTCTACCTCTCTGTTGGCCCTCCCATGCCAGCCTCTCACACCTAAGTAAAGAAAAATAGAGCCCCCAACCTTCTATAAATCAAACATAGCAAATTGCACTTTATTTAGAGCAATTGTTATTGTCAAATATAAAATTACATTTTGCGAGATGCCGGACCCAAACACAATTGCCCAATAATATGAGTTAGAATTATAGGAGGATCCACATTGAACTTGGCATGCATATTCAAGGCTTAAAAGAGAGTAAATTATCAGATTGAAGCACAAAAAACAATTAATATCAATCAACTATTGCATCAAGCTGAAACTAGTCAGGGTTGGCTACATGAATGTAAAAAATCATTTCTATTGTTATTGTATTCTGTTCTATTCTATTCAGGTCTACATGGTTTCTTCGATGCGAGGGTTTCCAGAAGAAAAATGAAACACCTTAGACATTGATGAATCCCCTGAATCCATGCCGCCTCCTATCACCACGCTACAATAATTTTCTCTTTTTTAAACTTTTATCACCTGAAGGTTTTCCAAAGTTAATATAAAAATTACACATCATAACAACCTAATTCAGAACACAACTAAATCCAATTCGAAATTTCGCATTCTACAAGTAAAAGTTTGTAGGAAAGAGGAAATAGGGTTTGACTGAAATTTGAATAGGAAAAATAAGAGGCAGATTAGAGAAAGAAGAACTTACAAATGGATTTTCCGGAGAAGGAGATGGTAAGGACTAAACTGCAGGAGGAAAATCTCGGGATCGGCTCTGTTTTCTTCTGGAAAGTGAACAAGAATAATAGTAATGGGAAATGACACGATGGTTTCCTATATTTTAAGTAGGTTTAAAATGATCCCTTATATAATATTCATAAGCAGTTTTAGTCCTTTAAGTTTGCCAAAAGTGAAAGTTTTTGGTGACAAACTTTGATTAGGGTTTAACACGAATTCACAACTAGAGGTGCATTTTTTCAGTTTTTGCTATTTCTGGTATATTTCATAGGTAAATATTTGACAGAGATAAAAATGACAAGGCTGGTATTACTTAAAAAATAGTATTCATAAACTAGTATTAGTTCCAAAAAACTATTGTGCATCCTTTAATAGGTTGCTTCTACTTTATTGTTTGATGCTCAGTTAGGAGTATTCGATAAATTATTAGCATAAATTAATTGAAGGTCATTCACTTATGGACATGTAATTAGTCAATGGGAATGGTATGAGGCAGAACATTTATCTCCTTAGTTAAGCTTGCATTTTATTATTTTCAGCGGTAAATTACTTCAAGGTGTGGCAAGACTTGAAAACTTTCAACATATTTATAAAACAGTTCGTACTCTCAGGTAGATCTTTTTACGTTCACCCTCTTAATTTGATTATTAACATTCTGTTAGCCTGGAAAGGGGTAAAAGTAGCATAGATGATGCATTATGCATAGTTCTCAAAAAGTAATTACTATTTGAGAAGGTAAATCAGTTTTAACAAACAGTAACTACTACCACACAGTTTTTTCTCCAAACGTGTCCTGGCAAGTACTCGTGGATGTGACGAGGATCCCTCCATCCATAAACAGAGGTTTCGGGTTAGAGAGCTTGGAATGGAGACACTTTGGTAGGAAGCGCTTTACCCCCTTAGTGGGCATCCCGGCACAAAACCCTCATTAGTGGGATAGCTGACTTCAGGATATCGAATGGTTAAATCAAAAAAATCTAGCTCACAGGCAATAGCTAAGAGTGACCACTAATTTTCAGGAGTTTAATGGAAGATCTTACGTTAGGATAATAGCTGAAAGTAAGAATTAAAAACAGAAGCTAGACTAAATTTGATTGTTAACACATAGGAGTGGAGAATATCATCGATAGGTACAAAATAGAAATCTGTTTTCTGCAATATTACATCCATCTAATAATTTGAGTGCACACCTTAGAACTCATAAATATAGTTTTCTGCATAACCATTGTATAAGCCACCAGACAATTAGTTTTCTATACACCATAATAAACAACTCAAGAAGTTACATACTTAAGTTCTTTTCGAAGTCCAGTTGATAATGTCATCCTCAGACATAAACAGCAAAATCATTGCTGCTATCAATTTCCGATTCGAGATCATCCTCTGTATCATCTTGTTCTGTTGTCCTTTCAGTAGCTTGTCCTTCTGGTTTTGACACTTCTCCAGGTATCTTAGCTTCTTGTATTATCCTCATGATTTCCTCCACACTTTGCTGTAGTTGCTCTGAAGCCTCTTCATATTTGGAATGCTCACCATCCATTAAGTCTTTTGGCAGATTCTTTAAAAACCAAGGATGTTTCTTTATCTCAGGAATAGTTATTCTCTGTGCATATTGCAATACATGTTATGTTAATGAACGATACTCGAGTCATGATTAGGATAAGTTTTTTTTTTCTTCTTCTTTTTTGATGAGTAGTTGAGTTAGGAGAATGTTACCTTCGAGGGATTTGCAACAAAGATTCGCGAAAGGAGGTTTTTACAATCTGCAGATATTCGTACATAATCGGGTATGGAGAATTGGGCACTCATTATTCTCTGAAAACAAAACAAAACAATCTTAAGCAGCTAATTGACAGAACAGTAGATCGACCCCCTTTCAAAATTTCAACATATTCCTACTTAGTCAAACAGGTAGCCCGGTGCACTAAGCTCCCGCTATGCGTCCGAGGAAGTGCCGGACCAAAAGGGTCTATTGTACACAGCCTTACCCTGCATTTCTACAAAAAGCTATTTTTATGGCTTGAACCCGTGACCTCATGATTACATGGCAGTAACTTTACTGGTTAAGCCAAGGCTCCCCTTCTTTACCTACTTAGTCAAACATCAAATTTAAATATGAACTCACTCCAATGGTTTTCCTGAAATTTTTTGGATCTTCAGGATCCTCAAAAGGATAAGCTCCGACTAGCATCACATACAGTGTCACCCCACATGACCACACATCTGCTATCTGAAAATGCATTACTATAACATGAGAAGAATATTCAAGTAATACAACAACAACAACAACAACAACAACAACAATAACAAACTCAGTGGAATCCCACAAGTGGGGTCTGGGAAGGGTAATGCGTAGGCCGACCTTACCCCTACCTTGTCCAGGTAGAGAGGTTGTTTCCAAAAAACCTTCGGCTCAGGCCAGCAAAGTCGCAGAAATAAAGCAAAGAAAATAATATTCAAGTGAAACAACTAGAAGAAAAAAAAAACACAATCACGTAACTAAGTATTCAGATATTCTAAAGGCCGCATGAGCAGTAAAGTTCTTCACAAAGGTAGTATAGTTGTTACTTTCTCTATTGTTTAAGTTGCTTGAAATGAGTCTTTCACCATAGAGAAATAAAAGTTACCCTAAAATTCTTACGTACAGTCCAAAGGGACCAATGTCTAAAGAAAATTATGCATTCTTCACAGCAGCCACTACAGGGGGAAAATGATATGGTAGAATATTATTAGGCCAATGTAATGTGTGTGATCATAGTTAAGGGTCTTTTTTAGCTAGTGTCATAGGTATGAAGGCGATAAAGAAATCCGTTGACACACACACACAAAAAAAAGGAGTTCTTTTGTGGCCAGATCATGGTTCAAGAAGAGAGCTTGCCTTCCCGTCATATTCCTTTCGTGACAGGACCTCAGGGGCAATATAAGCGGGTGTTCCTACTGTCGACTTTGGTTGGGAATGCAACAATCCAGACTGCATGAAAAAGTACATATAATTAAAATAACATCATGTTAGATTTAATGCAAGCAAGCTTCTCAACGAGAAAAGAAGAACAAACCTTGGAATAACCAAAATCACATATTTTTACACGTGGTGAAGCACTTCCATCAAGAAGAGTGTTTTCTAGTTTCAAATCCCTGTGACAAATTTCCTACAGGAAAATAGAAGTATGACTGAGACTAGGAACTCAGTATAAACAACAACAACAACCCAGTATAATCCCACTAGTGGGGGTCTGGGGAGGGTAGTTTGCACGCAGACCTTACCCCTACCCTGGGGTAGAGAGGATGTTTCCGATAGACCCTCGGTTCCCTCCCTCCAAGAACTCCCCACCTTGCTCTTGTGGTGACTCGAACTCACAACCTCTTGGTTAGAAGTGGAGGGTGCTCACCACTAGAGCAACCCACTCTTGTCGAACTCAGTATAAAGAACATGACTATTGTACGAAATGTCGGTGTATTTTCAAATATACCATGGCATGACAGTAGCTGACTCCGGATATTAGCTGTTGGAAGAAGAAACGAGCCTGTTGTTGATTGATACAAATACGAAGATGATAAGTACGGCAACTCATTCTCATCAAACACAGGTACAATGCAATGGAGTTGGAGATAAAAGTATAACCTCATCCTCACTAAATCTGCCAGCACTGCAAATTCTAGCAAAAAGTTCTCCACCTGCTGCATACTCCATAACAATTGCTAAATGCGATGGAGTTACCAAGACCTACCAAAATAAAAAAGGAAGGAAGCCATATTAACTATGGCTATCAAGAGACAACTGCTCTAAAACCATGTTGTAGTGTGTAATCATCACATCTAAAAGCTAAGGGTACACTTTAATTTACTTAATCATATCTTCGACAGTAATCAACTGTGTAAGATGCCAAGAAAAGAAAGTTACAGATGACAATAACAAAGGGAAAAAAGGATTATAAGATTTAAAAAAAAAAAAGCAATAACAAGTAATAAAGGATCAAAGTAAGGCTTTTAGCCCATGAAATGCAGTTGTGATGACAATAAATCTTATATATATATGCTCAACAAAATGGAGCGACACTTAAAATTTAAACCTTGGTCCTTGATATATTTGTCGTTATACCATACAGAAGATACTGTTATTTCCGGTCAATATTCCTGTATTTGTAAATATTAATTCTGCAAAATATAAGTTAACGTAATGAAATAAT